GGGGGGGGGGCAGAATTAAGGCTTTCCGAGGCAGCCCCTGCAGGGAAGAGCTGTCTCAGTCACGTCTGTGCAATGTCTATACCAAATACAAAGTCAGCCCCAGACTCTTTTTCACTCGGCTTCTCACCATTGACACAGTCAGCAAGGGGAAGCAAAATGATTTTTTTAACTTTCTCTAAATTTTCTATTGTAAAAGTAACATGTGCTTATTATCGAAAACGTGAAAAAAGAACAGAAAACTTTAAAGAAAAAAATACATAAACCCCTGCACACTGGGGAAAAAACTTTGTTTTGGCTTATTTCCTTTCAGTCTTTATTCTAAAGTTTTAAGAAGACTGGGATTATATGTTATATAAAGGATGTAGCCTGTTTGTTTTTTTCTCTTTACCCAAGTAAAGACATTTTCCTATGTCATGGTTAAAAGCAAAAATATTATAAAATCTTCAAGGTTAACATAACACGCCATCATATGAGTAGGCCATAATTTACAGTTATTTCCCTAAAACTATCCCTTTGATTATTTCCTATTCGTATTATATATAATGCTGAGTTAAAAGTTTAAGATCGTCATGCTCAAATCCTTTTTTTTTTTTTTTGTATTTCTGAGTTATAGCTTTATGATAAATTCACACAAATGAAATTTCTGGGCCAAAGGGTATAAACATTTTTAAGACTCCATACAAAAGGCCAAACTGGTTTTTAGAACAGCAGGCATCTTTGAAGAGAAAGGAGACACATGTATGCAATTATCAAAACTGGTTGAAATTTTACTTAGGATTTATAGAAAGGGAAGTTACTGTCACAGTCTGAAAACCCCAGTCTTCAGATCACACCTAGCTGTGGGACAATTTCTGCAAGTTATCTTTTGCCCTCCAAAGAGGAAAGACCAAACTATTCCAGCCTGTATCAACACACGCTGACCACTCGGTGAGAGATACCAGGCCAAGCATCGGGGTGATGACCAACACACTGTCCTTTGTCGTCTATAACCTAAAAGACCATCCTAACCTCCTGATAGAAACGAGAGCCTAAAAATGTAAGTGCAAAAAAATGGATATGGCAGGAAGGTGACAGGATCGAAAAGCAAAGCTCAGATTCAAAAAGGCAAATTTATAACAAGTTGGGATTTGCTCCCTCCATTTTCGTAGCAGCCTAGTCATTAGAGAACAAGCGAGAGCTCCAGCAGTCCACAGTCTACTCCCATCTGTCCTGAACAAACAACTAGCCTCTTGTTTAGGTCGGCGGAGCCAAACCTCTTTGAACTCATTTTCTCTTCTGTTAAACAACAAACTTAAAGTCCCTAAGAGTCACTCTCCGGTCTCTGATTTGCAACATTTTCCTGTTTTAAAGGTGCTGGGGAAGGAGAGGTTATTCTCTCTGAACACATGACTTCTAACAGGATGTTCAATCTCACTTTGCGTAACACGAATAGATCAGGTAGCATTTGGTTTATAAAAAAGATTTCATCAACTAGGCATTTTCTATCAGAAAACAAGTACCAGGGGCAAAGTGAGGCAGGGAGAGCAGTAAGCAAGGAAAGGCAGCAGGCTCACCGTGGCCATTGCAGTAGTAGATCCACTTCTCCCGGTTCTGGGTTGGAGTCACAGACTTCTTCAGCCCTGCCTTCTCCACAATGGCGCTGGGATCCTGCCGGGGCCCCTTTTTCAGAGTCCTCGAGCTTTTCCGGATGCTGCACACTACTATCACCACGAGCACCAGCAGCAGGAAGAGCACAATCATCCAGGGCAGATGCTCATTGATGTCAAAATGCTTGTGCATATTCTGTCTGGGATGGGCCCTCTTGGGGCCCTTCATGGGCGTGCTGGACTTCTCGCCCCCGGTGGCTTCCATGGCTGGCAGCAGCTTCAGGATGTGTCTGTGGTGGGGGCCCTGCTGGTGGTTGACTACCTGGAGGTTTGGGAGGGTCTTGTTCATTCCTTCCTCCCCACTTGCTGAGCTTGTGTTGTCAGGGACTGTCCCTTCCTGGGTGCCACTCAGTACCTTTGGTCTAACAGAGGCAGAAGAGTTGGATTCTGTTGAGTTCATGCCTAGAAAAAAGAGTAAGGAGGGGGAAGAGCTATTCCATATTTGGGGATCTATATATTCCCTCCTCTCCCTGGTCATCTCCAAACTAGGCCAGATAATCAAAGAAGAGATGACCTTGGGGCTAGAATAAATTACACTGCATATTTTCATAGAGGCCCTAATAGCACTTCCATACGGCAGGTAAAAACTGAACTGCTAAACTTTCTTGTACCAAAACCAAAGGCATCCTCAGGGATCCAACATCTGGGCTTCGAGGACTCTTCTCCTGTACTTCACGTACTGAGTGGACACATATTGAGACCTCTAGTCAACTCTTAACGGTTTCCATTACTTACTTAGAACTAGTTCAAATTTAATTCCTTTGTTCCTTCTCCTCCTCTCCCATTTTTGACTATTTCATGGTGCAATGATAAAACTAAGAACATGACTAAGAGAAAGAAAAGATTTGCATTTTCAAATGCAAATCCAAGTTTGACTAAAGAAAAGTTTGGTGGGACAGGTCAGGGAATAAAAGAAGCAGGACTTTCTTATCATCTGTTACCAACAAACTAAACAAAGTTTGGGCTAGTAGCTTTCTGGACTTCGTCCAGAAATTCTTCCCCAACTAGTCTTAAGGACTGTGAGAAGTAGGAAATTCTGATTCCCAAGAGACTGGGACTCCATATCAGTCCCTGAGAAAATCTGGAGTGTCCATCTGACTCTCTGAGGCTGTTTCTTGATTTCAAAATGGCAGGGGTAAGAAGACTCTCCAAGCCAGGAAGCACAACTCAGGCTGGCTATCAGTTCATAAAAATTCAATTCAATCAAAAAGGATTGAAAATAAAGGCTGAATTTTATATTCTGAGGCTCAGGAAAATTGGAATACTTAATGAAAGACATGAAATTAAAATCATTGGGAAAAAAATACAGGTATTATTGTATTATTTTCTAGATGTGACTGCCAGTTCCCTTCGACCTGCCTCAAATGTGCTTGTTTCCTGAAGCTTCTAATTTTCTTTCTTCCCTTCCTGATATAATGATATTTCCTTCTCTTCTCCCTCTCTTTCTGGCCATGTCTGCCCAAAACTGATGCCATGTTGGAAAACTTTTAATCTGGAAGGAATACCTAAGTCACTTATTTATTTGGCAAGTTTGAAACCGAGGCCTAAGGAGGTTAAATGACTTACATAAGGTCACATGCTGTCCTTGTTCCTCTCAGTTCTTATTATGTGACCTAGTTTTTAGATATTTGATCTGCCCTAATAGAAAACTTCTGAGTCTAAATATTTCTCATAAGTCCAAAGAAGCCAGACTTAATTAGCCACAAAATGAAGGCCTCTTCTCCAAGGGGTGAATTTGGAATACACAAAATGGAGAAAACACTGGTATAAGCACACTCTTGGTACCTCCACTGGGCTCAAAGCCTTCCTCAAATAAATAATTCACCAGGTTATGTTACCTTTGGGAACGTAAGTGGAGGAAGGGACTTCATGGGAATCCGTGTGCTCAGGGTGTGAAAAGATGGCTGTGCCGGGGGGAGGCGAGGTGGTGCTGGAGAGGGATGGGAGTGTGCCACAGACGTTGTCTGCCTCCTTGGTCCCCGGCTTGATCACCACCAGGTTCTGACTCAGACAGTCTGTGTATGCTTTGCATTTCATCACACTAGAAGGCACATCAGAGAAGGTCCCCCGAGCACACTGCTTACACCGCACGTCCTCAGTCTCTGTCCCTTTCTTCCGCACACCCCAACCCACAGGACACACTGTGTGAGGGGCGCAAGTAGCGTTAGACTGGAACATGCCAGGTGGGCAAGTGCATTCTCGGTCAGTCAAGGCAGCACAAGGTAATTTCTCAACCATTGGCCATGGGCATGGCTGACTACAGTCATGGCATCTCTCTATGCCGTTCTCATGCCTGGTAAAGGTCCCCGCAGGGCAGCTGCTGCAGACACGCAGGCTTGTGTTGGTACAATGCTCGGACACATAAGTTCCTGCTGGACACTTGTCACAGATTAGCACCTGGCCTGTGGCACGGTCGACATGGCGGTATGTGCCAACGAGATTCGAGGCCTTCTGTTCTGGTTGAGCTGTGGTGGTGCTAAGAAATCCAAGCTGAAAGAAATAAAAGGGGAAGGAGAGGGGAAAGGAACAAAAACCAAGAAGGTGTTATATAGAAGCACAGGAGCAGAAGGGACCCATAAGCCCAGCACTACCCATCCTCATTCCCGTCGGAGACACGGCCAGTCCTGCATCCCCGCGGCACTACTGCGGCTCACAGCAGAAAGAGAGGAACAAAGACTCAGATTCCTCCCTACTGGCTGCAAAGCTTTGGCCTGGTTGCCTGACCTTTGCTGCAGCTTCCTTTTTACCCATCTGTAAAATGAATCCAACAAGCCCTCTTGAATTGATTATGAGAACCAATTAAAGATGTGTTTGTGAAAGCCTTCTGTAGCTAATACTAAAAGGGCCATATACTAGTCAAAATTCTAAAGCAAGAGAAAAACCAACTTTCTGAACAGTTGTTCCTTTCCCAGACCCAAATGTAAAGCTGCCATTTCCTGACACCAGGGCAAAGCACCTGAGCTCCAGGAAGGCACATATATGAGCTGTCACTTCCATGGCACCCATTGCCTCCTTGGGGTTAACCTGTAGTCATAGCATAATTTTTTTCAAAAGTTTTGACTATGTGAAGCTGATTTTTCTTTTGCAAAACAGAGGCAAGCCTTTGACATCCTTGGCAATGTGCTATGTCCTGTCAACGAAAGAGTTGATGCTTTTGGAGTCACTCGCTGTTTGTTCAACCTCTGAAGGCCACCGCTACCAAAGCACCAACACGCTGCCGCCTTGGAGCCCAAAGCTGGGTCCAGCAGGAAGGAATCAATAGACATTTAAATTTCATTCAAAGAAAAGAAACTTCACCCAGCTAGAAAGAATTTTCCATTATTTTCCAGAATGACACACTAGGGCACAGAAATTTTGTTTGCAGTACTAAATACCGAGGCCCTTCTGAGAAGAGGGTGTTAAGTGTAGTAAAAGGAAGCTTTTTGCACTAGTGAAGATTGAGGGGTTCAGGCAATGTTCACTACCTTGAAATGGACAAAGTTTGTATGTCAAGAAAATAATGGCTATCTCAAACTAAAAGCTGCCAGGCAGGCCAAATTCCTTTAACTTAGCTGCTGTATCAGTAACTAAGAGAATAAAGCAAGGATTTTTTATAGTGATCAGAGTTTCTGTCCTCCTTAGCACGCAGACAACCCAAGACACACTTACTTCCACCCCCAAATTTAACTACTTGAACCAAAATTCCTTTGAAGTCCTTTATTATACCCCAGAGTTGCCCCCAATCAAATGACATTTCATTTCATTTTATCAGAATACATTCTTTTTGTTTCTATAATCTGAGACCAAATGAAAGGATAGCAGTTGATTTTATTGTTAAGAAGTCTTGGAGCCCCAAGAAAAAGAATCTTTTGTCTGATGATAAATTCTGTAATTTTGTAATGTCTTCCCTTTTGATTCTGGCTTTACCTTTTTTTTTTCCCCCTTCTTGTTTATTCTATTTGCAGAATAAGCCGCGGTCATCCTCTTTGAGCACAGCAGATGCACCGGGTAGAAGGAACCGTTCTGCGGAGCCCAAGTTCCATTTGGCAAGTCCATGAAGGACAAGATTAGACCTAATATCCCCAACACTAAAGACCCGGCCCAAGAGGTTGCAAAGTGGCTCTGTTGTGCACTTGTCAGAGTTATTATCTAGTGTCCACGTCCAAAAGCAGCTCTACATGGCCGTGGTGTTCTGAAAGTTTGAAAGATGGATAGGTCAATCCAAATGGCAGGTTATTACACTTTAAATGAGCACAGAACCAGACTTGAGATCTGGCCAGGGGTGGTGGCTGGGAGCTGACATCACTCTGGTGTGCTGTGTGAGCCACATCTGCCTTCCTACCTGTGTGGGAGGCCGGGCAGTCAGCCACAGTCACCCCCACGAGGGTGCCTCTGCAGAACAAGCAGAGGAGGCCACTAAGGTGTCTGTGTGGGTGTGGAGCTGGGGTCAGGCTTCCCACAGCTTCACATATTTCCCCCAGGGTATGCACTTCTAAATGTACGGTAGGAGCCAAAGAATGAGAGGTCTCCCTAGCTGTACACAAAACCTACTTTCAAACCCCAGTGCCCCCACACTTTTTCACACTTCAAGTGGATTTTATCAGTCTTTGTTCATTTGGTATAATAAATCAAGTTTCTAATTAAAGCAAAGTTCAAAGCTGCTTAATCTATACCGTACTGGGTAACCCACTTGAGGCAACGTGTCCCTAAAAATGGACCTTCGACTTACCTCATACTATAGGAAATTACTCTAGCTCCTAAAGACAGCTGACAAATAGCAATGCCTCTGCAGTTTTGCCTGGGCTGAGTCCTGGAAATTAAGTGTGTGCAAACAGACAGACACTGGGAATCTACTGGACAAATATTCATTGGAGACCTACCAGGAGTGTGTATGTGTGTGAAGGGCGCCATGTCACAGGGTGAGGACACAGCCTCGGGAGTGCTATTCCAGCCCTCAGGAAGTTTACAGTCAAAGGGGGGGTGGACAAAAAAACAAGTACACCAGCACTTACTTGATTGGAATTGAGATTACTGCTGAGAAGCCAAAACAGAATCCTATGAGAGGGGTTTAACAGGTGCTTTGTAGCTCAGAGAAGTTAGAGAAAAGTTTTGATGTAGCTTTTAAGGATGAAGAAATAGAAATTGAGGGGGATTAGGCACAGGGGCCCACGGAGCAAAAGTATGAAGCAGAAGGAAGCTCAGCTCAGGAACTGGAAAGCTTGTGGCTCTATGTGAAGAGGCAACAGAGCAGCCACAGTTAAATATGAAAAGCTCCAAATTGTCATCTTTATCCAAAACACAGCGAGAAGCTCAAACAGGGTGGGGAGCACAAAATCACATTTGTGAATATAAAAGTTATGCAGCCGCAGGGTGGGAGATGAAAGGGGGGTGGAGGGAGAGCAGATGAGAAAATCCACTTAGAAGGTAAGAGACAAGGTGCAGGGTGGTGGTGACTTGGACCGAGGTGGTGGCCATGGAAATGAAGCGGAGACAGTTTTGAGGGTTCACATCAGCTGGATTTGGTGAATTGTTACTTAAAGCAGGGGAAAGAGGAAGAAATCCGTTCTCAAAGGAGCAGGGAGAGAAAACACAGCTCTCTGTGCTCAGTCTGAGGGGCTGACAGGTAGGCTCCAAGGCCCCACCCCTGCCTCAAAGGTAACCACTGAGCTTTAACAACTTGGTAATGGGGCTTCCAAGTAAGAAGTCATTTGAAGGAAGGTTCATGCCTCAAACAAGTCTGAAAATCAGTTGAGTTAGAGGAACCCCCTAAGGCCCTTTCCGATGCTAAGGTAAACAGCTGAACCCATCTGTGCTACAAGCTGGACGACCTGCCCCACAGACTCTTTCCTTGCTGAAACCCTGCTGACAGTAAGGGCTGGCAATGAAGAGATGGCAACATCCCTTTCTCTTTGCAGAAACTTAGATGGCACCCAAGAAAAGTTACTTTCCTAAAGTCTTCAGTCAACTCATGGTCTCAAACTAGACCTTTTTTCACTAGCCTCGTGGCAACTCCCTGATGTCTAAGAAAATTAAAACATTATAAAAATCATCCCCAAAGATGATTCCGGGGGTGCAGCACTGGGTAAAGGAGGCGAGACAGATCAAGTTCAAAATTAATATTTAAGAATGGGCCCTGGGTGATGTAAAATCAAGCTGAGGGGATACCTGAACTAATGCTAGGGATAAACCTGATTCAGGAGACACAGTCATTGAAAAGTACAAAAGAGCAAGGGCCAGAAGACCTGAGGCTGAGTCCTACTTGGTCAAGATCCCTAATGCCCTCACGCGTACAGAGGTGGATGAACTAGATTAGAGGCTCACCAAAGCCTCAAGTCTCAAATGTAACATTAAAATTACCCGGGAAGCTTTATAAAAAATTCCCATCCCCAGTCCCATCATCAGAGATCATTGTGGGCCTGCAAGAGGGTCACAGATTTTTTTTTGTTTTAGCTTTTATATATGTATACACACACATATATAGCTTTCCAAGTGATTCTGATGCCCAACCAAGTTTTGGATACCCTGAACTAAGCTAGGACCTCCCTGCCTCTAATCTTCTGATTCTGAGCTACATCCTAGAGACAACCCAAGTCCAGTGTCAGGACCACGCTCTCCACCTCTTGTCCAACCTAGCACTTTAAACTGTTTTAGTGTACTTATTAAATTAGTAAATAATTAATATTTTATAATGAAATTAAAGCTTTTTGTAATAATTAGAAAGTACGGAGCAAAACATTTAAGTCTCTGCCCAAATCCAGTCATCCCTAGGGTGACCCGCTGTTAATTTTGGCGCACATCTCTCCAGCCCTTTTCAGAGCATTTACACATCGTGCGTGTGTGTGCATGTGTGTGCGTGCGTGTGTGTGCATGTGTGTGCGTGCGTGTGTGTGCATGTGCGTGCGTGCGTGTGTGTGCGTGTGCGTGCGTGCGTGTGTGTGCATGTGCGTGTGTGTGCATGTGTGTGTGTGCGTGTGCGTGTGTGTACTTTAGCCGGCTGTTTCCATTGCTTCGGTTTTGTCTTGTTTGGAGCATCTGATGGAGACGAGCCATACATCCTGTTCTGTAACAGTTCGCTTCTGTGCATCTAACACTGCATCACTGGAATTTTACCATGCGGACTGCTGCCTTCTCTCTAACTGGCACCAAGTTCTCTTCACCAGTATGGATATGTCTGAATTTAGTGATTCTTCTAAGGACAGGTAGACTAATTCCCTCCTTGCCATATGTCAGCCAATGCACAGTTCTGTCTTCAGTAATCCTCTCCTTCCCTTCTCCTCCCCCACCTCAGTCTCTCTTTTCTTTCCATCGCATTCCACACGACAGATACAAGCACACTGCTTTTGGTCTTCTGAGAACCACTTTCTTCCAGGACAAATGAAGGCTCAATATAACCCATAACTTGGAACTTCTCACCCCATCTTCTCTTATTAATATGAATCCAGCCTCCACGCCTGTAGCTCAGCAGCTAGGGCGCCAGCCGCATACGCCGGAGCTGGCGGGTTTGAATCCAG